TTGATTTCGTCAGCTACACAAACTCCTCCATTACGGCAGATATTCGGTCCAGCCATCGAGCATTCCAAGCCGCTACGATAGATTTGGCAGTCCCTTCCAATGAAGCCCTCATCGCATTCACATCGGTATGAGCCCATCTGGAACACATGATATTCCCAGCGCATTCGTCGCCGCACCGCAATGTCTCTATTTCAATATGAGCTGTTGCAGCCGCGTTCTCAACAACGAACAACGATGACGACGGTGGCGACGAGGACGCGCCGCCGGATGATTTGGTGGTTTTCGCTTTCGTAACTTTCTCAGGCCGCAAAAAAACGTGTGGTGCGGTGCGCAATCACTCGTGGTAAATTGCGCGTTTGTCCTCTCATCTCAATGTTCGTTGTGTGAATGTCGGCGGCGTGTTACGCAACAGACAAAGCAGGATCGGGGTGGACGCGCAGCGCACTGCTGATCGTAAAAAATGAGCTTGACAACGATAAAAAAGGACTCGTGTGAACATTCCCAGCGATCCATTTCTGTAATTCGGCCACTAACCCATTTATCATGAAGTCTACTCTTAAACTTACCGTATTCACACATTTCCCAAATGCACATGGAGACAAGTCGCACTCGTTGACATCATGTTCACACTGTGGTCCATAGAATCCCGGAGGGCAATTGCAGACGAAATCAGACCCATTCTGAGAGCACTTTCCGCCATGGTTACAGTACTCGGGTGGACATGGATTGCGTTCTTCACAATGGTCACCTGCAATGAACTGGTATTACTTAGGTTGACAGCATCGCAGCCGCCGCGCTTTGAAAATATCCAATTGCTCGCGCTGAAGGCAGCTCAGTGGACAGAGGCGTCCACTTTTCCGTTGATCGGATCCATTCCAGAGCAACCTAAACCTCTTCTGCACTGGGTTTAAAGACAGCTCCCGCTATTGAACAGTATGCGGAATGCCCCTTGCATTTGGCATTAGGGTCCGCATTCGCAGAGAATATACCACTTTCGTCACTCGAAACGGCGAGATAAAGAAGCTAGAGACGCGTGATTATTGCAACCACGATTACTTTCACTCTGCAAGACAACGGCTTACAAGCGGAATGTGTACATAGCGTTGCCTGGAGCGTCGTAGGGTGATTTCCTGTGCTCTTGCCGGGAATGGTTGCACGTCGAATCCTGCTAGTTGGGCCAGAGGACCAAACCTCGTCCCACTGCTGCAGGAGGGGGGCTCTGTTCAGAGGTTTTCCAGTGTTTTTTTAATTCTTTCTCTTGGGGTGTTACTTATGGGCTTACTGTTCATGATTGACACCCACTACGCGTAACACTTGAGCGCGAGAATTGTCTCTAACTGACAAGATTGTCTGGAAGTACACCAATACCATCCAAAACCCTAAAGCACTGCAGGCAGAGCACGTCGTGCAGTGGTATCAACGGGAGTCGCAGTTGGTGGCTGGTTCGAAGGAATTCGTACTCAGCCTCAGAAAACTTTTTTGACTGCTGACTTTTCCCGTTCCATGCGCTTTGTCGGCGTTGCTGGCAAAATTACTGTTTCTGATAGGAGGTCGACCGTATTGAGCCCCCCCCCCTCCACTTGATGGCAAATTTCTGGGAATGCTTGGCAAGATG